TATCTATCTATCTATCTATCTATCTATCTATCTATCTATCTATCTATCTATCTATTGTGGGCACAGATGCAAGGGGAAGGGGAGATGAATGGGATTGGGGTGCATAATGTGAAATTCACAAAGAACCAATTAAAAAGTTAAGAAAAAAATCAACACAAAAGCATGCTGGCTAGAAAATAAGAGAAGGTTCTTGGAGAATTAAAAGTATTAAAGATTAAAAACGTGTTGCTGATAGCAAAAGATAACATGGCCAGAGCTTACTTCAGGGATATGTTGTATATCATCTGCTTTCTCTTTCTAGGCAGGCACTGCAAACTAAGGACAGTGATAGGCATGGTTAAGTGAGATGGCAAGAACAAAGGTGCTAGACATGTGGCTGTTCAGTGTACTTTATCTTCAGGATGGTGGCGAACGTGATGACTTCCATTTTCCAAGCTGATAGATCAAAACAAGTACAGAGTGGTAGATAAACATAGATGGTTTCTGAGTAGTTTGAAAGAACAGAAGGTAAACGATTAATATAAAACCCATGCAAGTATACAAAGCTGAATGTAACAGAAATCTCCCTGAAAGCTAAGAGAACAGAGAAAGTGGTTTGTGGTCTCTCAGAGTAACTTATCTTTCAACATTTTCAGTTCTGTCCATTTGGATCTGTGATTTGGTTTCCCTACACTTTGTCCTAAAACATTTGAATCAATGCTGTCTTCCCCCCCCCCCCCGTACTGTTTTATCCTCCTTGGTAGAAGGCCATTGATCTCCAGAACACATGAAACATAAGAAAAATCAGACTGACCTCTTTCTTACCAAATACCTGAGCTCTGAGTAACCCTTTCATGTCTGGCTCCACCCTGAGGGCATTTGGTCAGGACATCTGCAGTTCATCCTCCTGCAGTTTTCTGTGAGCTGCCCACACCTCAGTATTTGGTCTCGATACTTAGTTGTGGGAGGGGATCTCTGAGTTCCCTGGGTACCTGAGAGAACCTGTGCCTCCTGGAAGCTGCCATCTCCACCATGTCCTCCTTCTGTGTTGTTCTCACGTGCTGGACAGGTTCTTGTTTCTTTCGGGTGTGCTTAAACACAGCCTAGCTCTGATGTCATTCTTTCCCTATCACCCGTCTTTAACAAACAGCAAAAGAGGGGCTTCTAGCGAGTCAGGGTTTAATGCGTGGGAGAAGAGCTGAGAGCCAGATGCAGTCCGGCGCCCTCTCTAGGCTATTCTTTCCTTCCTGGCTCAGCATGCCACATGCCGGTGCTGTCTATGCAAAGACGGCGTTGGCGCGGCAGTGGGAGCAGCCGGCTCTCCCAGGCTGGTGGGCCCCTTCCAATCTTCTGAGTGGCACAGGAGTAGAAGGAGAAGTACTGGGTTGGAACTGGAGAACTGGGTTCTGGTTTTGATTGTGTCACTGATCACTGCCATGGTTTCCCCAATTAGAAAACAAAGGCAGTTAGACCAGATGATATCCTGGCCCTTTCGGACTTTAACTTAGCCCTGTTTTGAATCAAAACTCTCTTTTCAGGAGGCAGAAGGCAGAGCTGCTAGTATTACATTGTTGGAGATATCAGAGCTGTCCAGGTCTTCACACGAGGCCTTGGAGCATGCAGAGCACAGAAGCACAGAAGCTCTAGGCCCTAAGCATCGCCTACCTGCTCAGACTCTTCCTCACCAGTGAGCTCTGATAGCCAGATAAAGAAAAGCAGCAGGCTCCTGATGTCTCCTCTGCTCTTGGGACTGGCATCCATAAGCCACAAGCATCCCTTCTGTGGCTTGGCAGTCTCCTCCAACACGGTCTCTGCCTCCCCTTTTCTAACCATGTTGCTGTCTCCTTGCTCCTGGGATGCAGGGTGCTTGTTCTCTGCTCTTCTCTTTTCTGTGGGATGCTCTTTGCTGACTCACCAGTCTGTTCAGTTTCCAGCTCTTGCCTCCTGCATCACTTAGAAGGCCTGATGAGGTCACTTGTCCTTACACACACTCACAATCCCACATACTTCTGTGAGTAGGTGCTATGGTCATCTTTATCTGTGTTGTCATTTGAGGAATGATTTTTCCCCCAGATAGCATGTAAGCACCTTGAAAATTATATAGCTTGTGCCCAGGTTTTTTTTTTTTTGGGGGGGGTGTTATTTTGTATTTCTAGTGCCTGCACTTAGTTATAGTAACACGAATATGCCAAAGATATCAGCATCTCTTGGTGTGGAATAAGTAACTGTGATAATAAAAACCCACAAGGGAGTCCTGTGTGCCAGGCACTGCTCTGCGCTATCTCCATGCATATCACTTTCAGAACAGCCACTGCTATGTTTTGAGTAATTGTTGTATTCCTTGTACATTGACATGTTGCTCAACTGGATTTTAGTAAAATACTCAAAGATGCATATAGTAGCTGTGGGCTTCTTAGTCCTCGATGCTACTGTTGGCCAGTAGAAAGTCTGAGACAACACTGAGTCAAACAGAAGGGAGCTTTATTCAGTGGAACTCCTGATTGCATTTTCCAAAATTCTCCAGAAACAAAAGGTTGTTGGCTGATTTTGGGTCTTAGTTTTCTCAAGGAGAGGGACTCCTGTGGAGTGACGTAAGGACAGGTCACAGGGCAAAGCTTATCCTGCTCGTTTGTTCTGGAGGGGTGACTGTTGTTTGGCTCAGACTGGGGGTGTTACCACTGTAGTCAGGGTGGGTTGGGATCTGGTGCCTTGTTTAAAAGGGGCACTGTCTGTGCTGTGCATGTTTATTTCGGACTGCAGCCAAATCAGCCAGTTGGTCAGTCACAGGCCTGTGGCCAGTGCTGTCACTGTTAGCATCTTGTTGAACCCATGTTTCTTAGTTAAGTGAGCCAAGCTTGTCCAGCAAATACAGTGATAATTAGGCAAGGTGACCCTAGGCTCTTCTACCAGTTCAGGTTCTGTTAGGCCAGTTTTTCATTTGAGGAAATTGGCGATCAGTTCGGTTATTAAACTGTTTTTAACCCATGGACCTGTAAACCCCATCCCTGACAACTGCTTTACAACTGGGAAGATTACAGGGAACGATCAAAGCTGGTGAGCATTGGTTGCTTAGAGCTGACAACACATTGCTAACTGCTTTGTCTGCTACCAGACGATGTGTTTTGGTATCTTACCTCTTACTTTGGTTAATATGCATTTGTTATATAAGCTGGGAGTATAAGATGCATGCTTTTCTTGTGTAGGTAGAATGATGCATTTACCCCAGTTTGGAATTGGAACACTCATGTTTTGCTGAGGATGGGGCAAGGGCAGTAGCTGTACCGGATGTTCAGGAAGTGTTCAGGGCAACATTAGTTGTGTGCATGGTGCAATCTGTGCTGAGAAGCAGTGGCTTTCAGGGTGAAAAGACAGGAAATAAATAATGGCATATATCTCACAGTCATTGAGACATTCAGATGAGTTAATTTAGATTTGTGTCTGGCTTTGTTGGAATAGTCTCTTTCATTAATATTCTCTGTAATATTTTGTAAGCATATTTTTATAACATTTTCTGGTTGATATTTATCAACTATCACAACTCTGAACCCCGCCCGAGTAAGATGCATAGGATGATATTAGCTAAGCTGTGTACTGCAGTTGGGAATACAGCTCAGTGGGAACTGCCTTGCCTAGCAACCATATGTCCCGGCTCTGAGCTCTAGTTTTGCAAAACAAATATTACAGTATAATTATGGGGTTGTTTCTGTGAGATGTGTTTCCTCAAGTACACCCAAAGGCAAGGCTTTTTAAAATAAAAATGTTAACTTATTTGCCTGTGCTTCCTTGCTTCATTCTGAACTTCAGATTTTGATGCTAGGCTTCACACAATATCTGTAAACCCTGAAGCAGAGGTGGAGGAGCAGAGTTTTGAGTCAAGTGTCTCATGCAGAGATACACTGGCTGGTCAGGCCCTGATTTTGTTATCAGCAAATTTGTGATTATCTAGGTGTATGTCTATCACTGGCGATGGGCGTTCTCTGTGATGAGCTTGTTCAGCCACTTGTCACCCCAGGTACGGAGCCTTGGGCTAAGTCTCC